TCTTCTAAAGCTGTCTCCCAAATATATTTTCTATATCACCCATTTTCTTGTCACCCATTTTCTTCCTTAAAAAAATGAGTCTTCATACTGGTTAATTCTCTCCTGTGTTACTAAAAACCCCACTAGGTGCTCTCAGATTTATGTCACTTACTTTCCAGGTTCTTACTAATCAACTGGCTCCCTTTACTCTAATTCATTTACTTTCAACAAATGCAGCCAACCATGTGTTTCCTTAAAATACCATAGTATAGGTGCAGAGCCTGGCCATCATTACATTATCCATTTTTTCCCTTTGACAGTTGTCTGCTAGGACCTGATACCTTCCTGCCACTAACACTTGGGTACTCAGGTACTATGAGAAAAGGATGACCTTTTCTAATCTATTTCAAAGCATTTTCATTGTTAAATTTTATCTTTGGGGTTTTACCTTTGAATCATAATGAGTTCATGTTTTAATGTCTTGGTAACTTATACTTTTCCTTATGAACTGACATATCTGCACTTTAACAGCAGTTACAGGGAGGAAAACTCTTTCCTTTCTCTCCTCGATTTGCTGACCTGTGCTCTAACAGCAGTCATCTGGAGAAGATATTTTCTTTCTCCCATTATTCACAGACAGGACTGTTTGATGTCTTTCTGTCTCATTATTTTCAGCTAGTAAATTGGTTTTTTTTTCTACTCTGCATTTTTTACTTAAAATTATTTTTCATGCAATATATTTTAATGTTTTCCCTCCTCCAACTCCTCCCAAATACCACCCCCAACATTATATGTGTGCACTCTCTCTCTTTGAAATAAATACATGCATATACACATACACAACAAAAACCAAAACAAACAACCAAAAGACCAATAAGACCGAAAAATTATAAAAAGAAACAAAAATCCCACCACAAAAACAATGGCGTTCATTTTGTGTTGACCAACTACTCCTGGGTATAGGGCTTGCCATGAAGTATGGTTGATATACCCAGTGACATTGGAGAAAACTGGTTTTCATTGCAGCAGGTATCAGTTGCAAATAGTTTCTTAGTTAGGTGTGGGATCCTGTGTCTACTTCCCCTCTCATTGCTGGGACCCCATCTGGCTTGATCGTGTACAGGTCTTGTGTGTGCTGACACAATTTCTGTGAGTTCAGATGTGCATCAGTTCTGTTGTGTCTAGAGACCCTGTTCCCTTGAAGTCATCTATCACCTCTATCTCTTAAAATCTTTCTGTTCTCTTCCCTACATAGATCCCTGAGCCTTGAGGAGTGCTTTGATGAAGACATCCCCTTTAGAACTGAATGCTCCAAAGTCTCTCACTCTCTGCACATTGTCTGCTAGTATTAATTCCCATCTACTGCAAGAAACTTCCTTGATTAGGGTTGAGTGATACACTGATCTGTGGGTACAGCAATATATCATTAGGAATCATTTTATTGATATGTTACTTTACCAGAATAGCAGTAGTTGGTTTGGGAGAAAAGATCTTAACCCAAGGGAATGAAAGTTGTTTAGTAATAGAGTTGCCCTACAATACTGTTGATTACACAACTATGTAGTATCTATAACTGTATTAGTTCTTCCAAGGCTCAAGGAACATTAAGGAAAAAGGGCAGAAAGAATGTAAGAGTTGGGTGATGGGGGAGGACAATAAACACTATCTTCTAGGCATGACATGGCCCTTGCACTGGAGATGGGAAGGGTTCATGGTGCCTGTGTAACCCTAGAGAACTCTAGGCTTTTGACAGATGCTAGAGGCAGGGGACGCATTTCTCTTATATGCTGCATTGGATATACCTTTCATCTAAAAGTGTAGTTTAAGTAAAGTTTCTGTTTATTTTTAGTTTGTATGTCTTACATATATGTCAAATAATTCACTATTATTATGCCAAGACTTATGTGACATTTTATATCCATTAATATTTGTTTACAAAATGGTGAGCACCAACCTTTGGTGCATATATATTTAGAACTGTTGTATCTTACTATTTTTTTCTTTTTAGTAATATGTACTGGACATCTTTATCTCTTCTAACTTGGTTTGAAGTTGATGATGCACCAAATAACTGCATGTTATATATACACACTTATACAATATATAAATCTTTATTGTATATATATGAGACCAAATGCACACTGTTCACGTAAGGAAAAAAAGGTTGCCCTGGAAAAGGTGATAAGCATGCATCTCCTGGGAGGGCTTCAGCTGAAGTTTGTGATTCTCCTGATTCTTGAGCTCTTCTAATTCTGAAAAATTCATGATTGATTCCCATGGTTAGAGTTTCAAACTCTTTGGCAAGCCCCTTGTGTTTGACTTTTCTTTATATCCTGTTGCTGTAACAAAATGCTCTGACCAGAAACAACTTGGGTAAGGAAGGGTTTATTTGGCTTAAACTTCCAAGTCACAGTTCATCATTGAACTATTCAGGGCAGGAATAAGCAAGCACTTAGAGGCAAGAACCATGAAGAATACTACTTGCTGTCTCCTTGTGTGGTCAGTGTTCATCTAGCTTCCTTAAACTATCCAAGATCACTTGCCTAAGGATAGTGCCACCCTCAGTAGGCTGGACCTTCCTTCATCAATTAATAATCAAGATACTCTCCCACAGACATGCCCACTGACCAATATGATTTAAGCAATTCTTTAATCAAGGCATATTTCTCACATGACTCCAGACTGTGTCAGGTTAACAATTAAACCTAACTTTGTATTTGTGGCTCCCCTACAGCCAATAACCTGCCACTAAGGCTATCTAGGAGCATTTCCTTAGAACCCATTGTACATGAAAAGAGGGACTTGGACTGGGTGAGGTGGATTTGTCAATTTGCCTACCCAAAGTATCTTAATTTTTAAGCTATGTACCATAATAATCATAATTTCTATAATAGACAAGAATCTCGTGGCTGCTAAGCTATACTATTTTTCATTCTTGACCTCTGTAGAAGCTTTCATCTTCCGGACTTAAGCAGTCTTAAATTCTGGTTGTAAGATGCTCTAGCCTGCAACATATCACTGAATTTCTTGGTAGGGTTGATTCTGCTGATCAGGCTAGCTAGTTATGTATCACTGCCCTTACTCTCTGTTCAGTGTTTGTCTCTCCTGGTTTCATTCTCAGTCAAAGGGGATGACCTTCCCAGTATAGAAGGACTATTCAAGTAGCCATTGCTTTATTAGAACCACCACACTAGTTCTCAAGAAACCCTAAGTTCTATTCGCTTGTAGAATGAACTTCATTGTTCCTACAGGCAACAGTTTCTTGTTTCTGCCTGTTCTGTTTTTACCACCATTGGCTTGAACCCTGCTTTCCACATCTTCATCTCTAACATGAACTAGCAGCAGTCTTGGGATCTCCCAGGACAGACAGTGTCCGGCTAGGTATTCTTAAGGCTCCTGTGCAGAATTTCATACCAGAAACACTTCCCCTAAGCCCAAGGTAGATAGTCAACCTCCAAAGGAAAATCTTCCTTTTGCAGAGCAATGCTGTGCAGTGAAAGTATCTTTATCTTTTAACAAGGTGTGATCCCCCCCCCCATCCTTCACAAAAGCCTAGACTGGAAACAAGCTTTCTCTGTGTGTACAAAAATAGGAAGATTTGAAGTCTTTCTCTACTAATATTTATGTGTTCTTGATTATTGGAAATAAATTTTCCTTTTAAGAAAAAATTGGCAATTTAGTAAGAACTCTTTCTTAAAAGAGTAAATGGATAGTATTGAAGGATACTTTTTAATTAAAAAGCAGAACATTTTATTAGGAGAAATAAACTGGTGCTTTTAGGGTCTTGAAGTTTTATTCTAAGTTCTTACTAAGATTTTTATAATGCATAGTTACTTGCATTATAGTTACCTTCGAACATAAATGAATGATAGCATTCTGTTTCTTACCTTTCATCTTTTACTTGAATTATAATCACTTAAATAGATTTGATAGCTGTTTCTTACACAGCCTAGAATTTTCAGAAGAGGAAACTATCAAATCGTGTGTGTGTGTGTGTGTGTGTGTGTGTGTGTGTGTGTGTGTGACACATGCATTTAGGTACAAGTGCCCTCAGAAGTCAGAGGTATTAGATAACCTTAGAGCTTGAGTTATAGACAGTTGTGAGCCACCTTTAAAGGTGCTGGGAGTTGCTCTCTAGCCCCATGCTAGAGCATTGTACTTCCTTAGCCAGTTAGCCATCTCTACAGTTGCTTTTCTCGTTTAGTTTTTTGTTTGTTGTTTTGTAAACCTGGCGTTTCATAACAATATGCAAGGAGAAATAAGGAAGTTGGTACTAGAGTGTTTTTTTGTTTGTTTGTTTTTTTGATTTTTCGAGACAGGGTTTCTCCGTAGCTTTTGGTTCCTGTCCTGGAACTAGCTCTTGTAGACCAGGCTGGCCTCGAACTCACAGAGATCCACCTGCCTCTGCCTCCCGAGTGCTGGGATTAAAGGCGTGCGCCACCACCGCCCGGCTGGTACTAGAGTGTTTTAATAGCAAATGACCTGGTAATAAAAGTGACTACATTTTCTGTTCAAGAAATGAAGGGCAGCCGGGCGGTGGTGGCGCACGCCTTTAATCCCAGCACTCGGGAGGCAGAGGCAGGCGGGTCTCTGTGAGTTTGAGGCCAGCCTGGTCTACAAGAGCTAGTGTCAGGACAGGCTCCAAAAAGCTACAGAGAAACCCTGTCTCGAAAAACTTAAAAAAAAAAAAAAGAAAGAAAGAAATGAAGGGCATATATAACCAGAAGTTTAGTCATTTCTTTCTAAAAGGTAGAAAAATATATTATGTAAAAGTGGCAGGGAGAGATGCTGGTTTTCTTCAGCTACTGTTCAGAGGGGTAATTGATTGGGAAAAAGATAAACAGCTTTCCACTTTCTTCACTGAACATGCAACCCTCTATTGTTCTTCTGTTCTCCCTCCCCTCCCTTCCCTCTCTCATTGACCCCAATAGCCCTTCTATCCATGACAGGTAAAAGTCCATGTCTCTTCTCTTGGCTTGTCATCCCTTCTCTTAGCTTACTCTGTATGTTTTTGTTTGCAGGTCTGTGGCTGTCCACTCTATTGGAAAGCCCCCATGTTCAGGGCTGCAGGAGGAGAGAAGACTGGATTTGTGACAGCACAGTCATTCATTGCCATGTGGAAAAAGTAAGTATGTGAGCAGTCATTCTGAGACTAGCAAAGAATTGTGTGGTCCTTATAAAAGGTATTTATCTTAATATCTTATTCATTTTCCTTGTGTCTTATAGTTCAAAAAGGAAAATTCTATGATTCATTACTAATTATACCCACAAACCTTTGTCTTTTTTGCCTTTAAATAATGACATGTGTGGTGACAAATTCCTTTAATATCAGCACTGTGGAGGCAGAGGCAAACAGATCTGTGAGTTTGAAGCCAGCCTAGTCTGCATAGCTAGTTCTAAGCTAGCCAGGGCTACCTAGTAAGAACCTATCTCAAGGGTAGGGGGGTAAGAGGGCTAGAGAGATGACGCAGCAATGGCCGCTTCTTTCGATGACCTTGGTTTGATTTCCAGCACTTGGTGACTCGCAGTCACAGCAGTCTGTATTCTAGTTCCTGGGTATCCAGAGCCCTTTTCTGGCCTCCTCAGGTACCAGGCATGCATGTGGTACATACAGACAAAAACCCCATGCACATAATTTTTAAAAAATGCATCTTTAAACAGTAAATCAAATCTGCAGAGATACTTTTTAAGTAGCTACTAATTTGACAGTTTCTTTCTTGGTTTTACCTATAAAAGTAGAGACTTGGGATTTAAATCCAATAGCAATAAGTAAATAAAGACTCTCCTTTATGGGCAGAACTATGTGTGTCACAAGAAAAGCACATCTGCAGGCTGGAGAGGTGGTTCTGTGGATAAGAGTGCGAATAGAAGGACTTGAGTTCAAATTCTAGAACCCACATAAAAGGACAGGCATGGCTGTGTGAACCTGTAACCCAAACATTATGAGATACAGAAACAGGAAGATCCGAGGACTCATTGGCCATCCAGCCTTGCAGAAACTTAAAGCTTGAGGTTCAATGACAGGCCCTATTAAAAAAAAAAAATAAAGTGAAGAGGTAAAGAGGTAGAAAATGAATGTCCTTTAGACACCACAGCACACATGCACATGTACCTGCACATCCCTGTGAATGCACCATTCACACGCATACACACACACCAGAATAAATGTAAAAAAGAAAAATATAGTTACAGTCTTAAATAATCCAATGGAAAATTATATCTGGTTGATTTATCAAAATTTAATCTCCTTTGTTAAGCTTTTGTCTGACTATTATCTACAAAAACTTGTAATCAACACTCTACACAAAGACAAATATCCATCATCTACGTTTGGGGAGTGTGGGCATAGTTTTCTAAGCTACTTCCTACTAGTTGGGGCACTGATAATCTTATGGGGACCAAAAGAAAATTTAGGATTATGGTTAAGTCCTGACTGGAGTATTCTGTGGGCTGGATCATCTCAGTCAGCAGTCTTGAGGCTGTTCTGGATGTAGATCTCAGAGGAAACTACCACAGAGGTGCTCTGAAACGTTGGATTATCTGGGCCATGCATTCCCATTGAAGACTTTTCAGGGGGTTTCCTTGATCAAACCTTATTTTTCTTAATCCAGAATAAATCCACAGCCTCTCACTTCCTATGGAAACAAAAGCAAAACCTCTTCTCCAAAGTAACATATCTTTTGACATAAATTTTGAAGTCAAGGCATTTTCAAAATATATAGCTTGGAATAATCCAGCAACTTTTATAATCAAATAAACTTTTGATTTGATTATAGTAGCTTTTAGTAGCTGTTGCTCCATCCTCAGCAGTCAAACAATTCAAAGACAATACAGTAACATACAGGATCCAGATTCTCTGTGTATTTTCCATCTTTATGTGGCTTTTTTTTTTACTCTATTTCTTTTATTTTTAATTTTTGGTTCTTTGAGACAGGATTTCTCTGTGTATCTTTGACTGCCCTGGATCTTGCTCTGCAGATCAGGCTGGCCTCAAACTCACAGAGATTCACCTGCTTCTGCCTCTCAAGTGCTGGGATTAAAGGCATGCACCCCCATCCCCAGATACTCTATTTCTTTTTTTAAGGGCTTTCTCCATCATTTTTCTTTCTCTCCCAAGCCTACATATATTTTTAAAGACACCGTAAACCATTTTAGAAGGTTTTTTTCCCGTCTGAATCTGTCTTTACTGTTTATCTCTATATTTTTCTGAGCATAGAGTCTTTAGTCTGCTCAGCAGCCTGGTTAGGATTAAAATTGCAGCTTTGGTGACTAGCTCCACCCCATTCTTTGGCCTCCTGAGAGTCTAGCTTCATGGTGTAAATATTGGCAGGAACCGTGTTTATTGTCACAACTCTGCGGAGTTTCTAGGTCAATACCACCACCAAGAAGCATGCTGCTGGCTGCTCATAAACACCATTTGTTTGGTGGCCTGGCCTCTTAAAAGAGCCATGTGGTGTTTGCTGCTAAGGCTGAGTCAGGAAGCCTCTCTTAAAGGAGCCGTGCCTGTCTACTCACCACCAGCAAACAGAACCTACTAGAGTAAAGACGGTTACCGAGAAGTTGCACTTGACTCTGTTCTTATCTGTCTAGTATCCTTTTTTATAAAGCTTTCTCAGGCTGTATGTGGAAATTCTTGCCCTACGTTTGGGCGCCAGCTATTAGATATTGTTTTGTTTTGTGGCAACATCTCATGTAGCCCAGACTGGGCTCACTATGTAACAGTGATGACTTAGACCTCCTGACCTTCCTGCTTCCATTTTCCAAATTCTGGGATTATGCACTGGGTGTATGCAGTGCTGGGGACTGAACCCAAGGCTTTGTGCTTGCTAGGCAAACACTGTAATCTACGTTTAAACCCCAGGTGTCATTCCTTAAATCACTAACATTTAGGACAGTGCTTCTCCTAATGCTTCTCCAGCCTTCCTAATGCTGTAACCCTTTAATATGGTTCCTCGTGTTGTAGTGACCCCAACCATGGAATTATTTCATTACTACTTCATAACTGTAATTTTACTACTGTTAAATTTGCAACCATTAAATCACACGTTGAGAATCACTAATTTAGGATATCAGGGCCAATGTCTAAGTTAGGGCTGTTGCAATGAAACACCATGACCAAAAAGCAATTAGGGGAGGAAAGGGTTTATTTGACTTACACTTCCATATTCCTGTTCATCATTAAAGTAAGTCAGGACAAGAAGTCAAACAGAGCAGGAACCTGGAGGCAGGAGCTGATACAGATAACATGGAGGAGTGCTGCTTACTGGCTTGCTTCCCAGAGCTTGCTCAGCTTGATTTCTTATAGAACCCAAGACCACCAGCCCCAAGGGTGACACCACCGCCATGGACTGGGCCTTCACCTACTGATCACTAATTGAGAAAATTAGTGATCTTTACAGCTATATCTTCTAGAGGCATGTTCTCCATTGACATTCCCTCCTACTAGATAACTCTAGTTTGTGTGTGAAGTTGACATAATGTAGCACAAATAATAAAAACCCAGAGACAGATACTGGAATTCAACATGAAGATCAGAGAAGCAAAGCAGCCAAGCTCTTACCTCTCAGCAATCCTAAGACTGAAATCGAGCGAGTTCCTGTCTCATCCTGCCTTATATTCCTCTCTAGTCCTGGGATTAAAGGCATGTAACTCACTAGTACTGGGATTAAAGGTATGAGTCACCACCACCTGGATCTGTTTCTGCATTGATCTTGTGTAGCTTAGGGTGGCCTTGAACTCAGAGAGATCCACCTGCCTCTGTCTCTCAAATTCTGAGATTAAAGATGTGTGACACCACTGGCTGGCCTATAGTGACTTAGTTTGACTTTCTGGTCTTCAGGCAAGCTTTATTTATTAAACATAAATAAAATATCACTATAACATAAGACTAGCCAGCACAGCCAGTCTTTCCTTTTTACTGATAACCCTTCTTTATACAAGTCCTCACCCTTTCTGGCCTAAATACCCTTCCTCCTAGTAAAATGGATCTGCTGTCCTCTTACTATTTAAAATTCATACATAATATGAGCAGAATTAAACATAGAGGTTCCTTCTAATCCCTTCATACTATCTGTGGTGGTTTGAAAGAAAATGGCCCCCAAAGGGAGTGGCACTATTAAGAGGTGTGGCCTTATTGGAATAGGTGTAGTCTTGTTGAAGGAAGTGTGTCATTGTGGAGTCAGGCTTTGAGGTCTCATATATGCTAAAGCCACGTCCAGTATCTCAGTTCACTTCCTGTTTTCTGCGGGATCAAAATGTAGTTCCTTCTCTACTCTCAGTTCCTTCTCCAACACCATGTCTGCCTGCATATCATCATATCCCACCATGAGGATAATGGACTAAATCTTTAAAATTGTAAGCTACCCAATTAAATGTTTTTTCCTTTATAAGAGTTGCCATGGTCTTGGTGTCTGTTCACAACAATAGAAACCCTTACTAACTCACTACACAAAGACTCTTAGTTGTATGATGTTTGAAAACAAAATGAGTGATTAGTAAATGCATTATGCATTCCTAGTCTTAAAAATCTAACAGTAAATCACATCTTTCTTCATTATATTAGGACTGAAGTGATAAGGGTAAGACACTTCCAGTTAGTAAATTTCTTCAAAAAAGTACACCCAAGCCAAAGGATACAGTTGCTTCCTGTTGTCCCAGTGGGGATTAGCATTGTTTTCTTGGATTGATTGAGTTGTCCAAATACCAAGGAATATAAGAGCCCTAACAATCTATACCATCTGGATGACACTACAAAGTCACCCCACCTCTCCTATAGCAGAAAAAAATAGACTGATAAAATGTAAGGAATATCCCTTTTTAAATGGGTTTAAGTAGAGGTAAAAGTAAGAGACTTCCTTGTAAACTAGAAATAGCACAAAGAAAGAAGGGAAAAAAAAGTACTAATGAGCAAACATAAACTAACAGAAAAATCATTTGTCCTTGGGTGTTTCATTATCTCCTATTTATTTTCATCCCCCAGCTTGTCCACAGCTTTCTCTTAATAACGCTCACACCTTGCTGTTTTCCTAGACTGCTAGGTGATCTTTTAGCCAACAATAATTAGTTCAGTGACTAAAGATGCCTTTGGCAAGGGCTGTATCAATTATTTACTCTTTTAACTCCCAGTTCATGTTCCAGATGAGGACTTTTCAGGGCCAGGTAGAGAAAGCTGTGGACAAGCTGGGGGATGAAAATAAATAGGAGATAGTCTAGTAAAAGAGACATTAGACCTAAACACAGGAAATAGATCTGCTGATATTTTTAATATTCTAGGACAGTGTGAGAAGCTAAGAATGACTGTAGCAAAGGACAGCTTGTGTCCAGTTTGATTTGCATGCTTACTGTGAGAATCACAGCCAGTTTTTAGTTAAGACTGTGTCAGAGAGAGTGGACAGTTGTTCCATCGGGTAGAGCAGCACTGCGGCATGGCCACCGCAGCCATATCTCTTTATCGAAATGAGTTGCCGACTCTGGGGAAAAAACAACTTCTGCAAAAAGTCACGATGGGCAAGTCTGCAGAAAACTGCTCAGAGTTCCATCTCTGCTGTGGTTACCAAATGGTTTGGGTGCCCTCTAGTGGGAGTTCCTCTTAAAATGCCATTGAAAAGCCAGATTCTGTGAGAGAATGTAAGGAGACTAAGTGATTGATGGTTTGAGTCTCATCCCTAGGAAAGGAGCTTTAGTTTTTAACTTTTTTGCAAAATTCACCCTTCATATAAAGCAATTTGAGTTGCAAATACAGTATATTAAAATGTTTAAGCCATAATGGCTCATGCCTATAATCACAGCACTTTGGAGAAAGACTGCTATAAGTTCCTGTCTAGCCTGGGCTACAGTGTAAGATACTATTTCTTTAAAGTCCATAAATATTCAAGCACAAAGAATAATTGGCAGATGATAATATAAAATTCAAACATTTTGGCATATACATATGCTTCCTGACTTGCTCCAATAATAAGCTCTGTATGGAATTTTTAGAACTAAAATTAAATACAGAAGTCATGAACATAAGGAAATCATTTCCCTCCTGTCAGAATGCCTGTGACTGGTTTTAGAATGAGCACCTTAAAATTTTCCCCTCCTTCTCTTCCCCTCTTATCCCTAGCCATTTTATATCTACACTCAGATATCTCTTGCCCTTAGAGCCAGGACAATTTTTAGGAGGAAGCCATAGCTCACATCCTTTTTTATGTCCTAGAACTCCAGCTTTGGGGCAGAACTCCTCTGGAATCAAACCAATATGGTTCTAGCTTTACTCTACTCTCTCTTAGGGTTCATATCAGGGTGTCATTTGTCACTGACAAAACACTGGCCCCTAACGCATTATAGTCAGTGTAGAATAGCTGTGCTATTCTTCAGCTTATATGGCTTTTTTAAAAGTCTCATTTTTAAAATCTAGTGCCTTATGGAGTTTATCGGCCTAGAACATTAACAAAAAATTGTAAATCACCTTTTCTGTTTCACACTTTTGATTTTAAAAATGAAAGAATCCTGATGTGACTTTGGTCTTTTTAGACTTTTCTTCATCTGGTGCATTGCTTCCGTGTTTATTCAGTCACGCAGTCCTTTTCTTAAAATACATAAAAATGTTCCTCTTTAAAAACCTCACCACTTTTTCTTTCTATTATTCCATCAATTTTCTAATCCTATGAGGTGATTTTTTTTTTTTTTTTGGTTTTTCGAGACAGGGTTTCTCTGTAGCTTTGGTGCCTGTCCTGGAACTAGCTCTTGTAGACCAGGCTGGTCTCAAACTCACAGAGATCTGCCTGCCTCTGCCTCCCGAGTGCTGGGATTAAAGGCGTGCGCCACCACTGCCCGGCTATGAGGTGATTTTTATTAGCACCCAGTGTTCTAATCTTCCCTTGTTATGTGTGTTTATTTAACTTCAGGAGCCGTAAATACAGTCAGTAATGATAAGGACAGTAAATAAATAAATACAAATGTCTGACTTAGCTCAAAACAAACAAAATCAGTATGGTATTTGTTAGCTCACTAACATTTTGGGAGTCTTCTGGGTATAAGTCACTGAACCATGCTCTTTCTATATATAAAAAGACTATAACTACCCTCACTTTAGTTGTCAAAGAAAAACTTTAAAGCCAAAACACAGCAGCATATTTAAGTATAGTGAATAGAGAGATCAGAAAGGAGTTCAGTTGTAAAGAGATTTTTAAAAGAGGTAGTTATTTAGCTATGTCTTAAAGAAGAACAGAACAGCATGAGTGACGTAAAGGCCAGACTGCATATGACTCAGGCCAGCTGCCTGGAGTGGAAGTTGGATTTAGCACAGTAGTAAGGTCAGTGATTAGGCATCCTCTAGAATAGTGAGGGCCTTAAATGCCCTGTGTAGACATTTGAGCTCGCACATTTAAATGGTAGAGTACTGTACATTTTTTAGTAAGGTACTTGTATAATCAGATTGGTTTAGAATTGTTGCACTGAAAGGTTAGATGAACACTGAAGCCTATTGGAACCCTCCCTAGCAGTCTCACCCTGAGTCTGTAATGCCAGAGCTTATAGAGCACAGTGGAAACAGGAAGAAGCAGTTGTCCAGAACATTTCCAGGAAAATTTCTTCAGGACTCCAGTCTTCCTGGGATTCTGTATTCCAGACACCTAGCAGTCTCAGCTAGAACCTTGGCGAGCATGATGAACTGATGGAGGAAGGTCATTGGTTAAATAAAAAGAAACTGCTTGGCTCTCATTGGTTAAAAGATAGGAGGGAGGAGTAAACAGAACAGAACGCTGGGAGGAAGAGGAAGTGAGCTCAGACTCCACAGCTCTCCTCTCGGAAGCAGATGCTTCAGAGAGACGCCATGCTCCCAGCTCCCAGGCAGACGCACACGATGAAGCTCCGACCCAGGATGGACATAGGCTAGAATCTTCCCGGTAAGCGCACCTAGGGGCGCAACACAGATGAGATGATTAGAAATGGGCTAAAATAATATGTGAGAATTAGCCTAGAAGAGGCTAGATAGAAATGGGCCAAGCAGTGATTAAATGAATACAGTTTGTGTGTTGTTATTTCGGGCATAAGCTAGCCAGGCAGCCGGGGTGCTGGGGACGCAGCCCCGCCACCCATATTACTACAATGAACTTCACCTTTCTTCTTACCCATGTGCTACAGAGCACCACAACTTCTCATTTCTACCAGATGTGCCCCTTTCTGTCTCCCATTTCCACTGTCCATGCTCAGACCCCTACAGCCTCACACTTGCTCTTTTTGAAAAACACATCTGACTATCTCACTGTCCGAGCTAAAATTCCTCTATTGTGCAAATTCTTGACCTAATACCAACGAGGCCTTCTTAGATTTTATTTGCACTTATCCCCTCCTCTTACTAACTTTGTGTTGAACTTTGTGTTGCCCAATGCTGTATGAATCTCACACCAGGCATCTGTGTGTGTTGCCCTCCTTATTGTAACCCCCTTCTTTCCTGCTTCACTCTGCAGGAAATCTCATAGACCTCCTCTGTCCTTTCATGATACCTTGTACTCATTACTTAATACCATGACTGTTCCACAGCAGTATGATTCCACTGGTTACCAAAAATTGGACTGTACACTTCTCATAGGGAATAAAATTCTGTCTTATTTCCTTTTACCCAAACTCATTCAAGGCCAGATGCAATACCTGACATATACTCGCCATTCAATAAATGACTAATGAAGGAAAATAAGAAAATTTGGAGTTAATTATTGGATATAGAGAATTAGGAATAGAAAAAATTAAATTACTTTAAGTTTTAAAATCCAAATAACTAAGACTGGTACCATAATACACACAAACACACACACACACACACACACACACACACACACACTCAGGAAAAGGACTAATAGTTTAGAAAGCTTTTAGACTTTGCTTTTTCAGTGTTTTGACTTTTCTGTCAGAGTATAGGGACATACCCAGCAAATGGTTGGAGGGGAAGAATTCTAGAAACTTAGAAGACTTAACAGAGGACTGATTTTCTAAAGCTATTCTTTTAAGTTGAAGTTTAAAAGCCCCCCATGGGGCTGGCCATGGATATGTCAGCCTAACAAGAATTTCCTGTTTCTATAGTGCATAGTAGTCTGCCTGCAATATTTCTTTCTTTCTAGCTCAGAAATTCTTGTTCTAGATGTCCTGTGCTAAACCGAATGGGCTTTCCCCACTAAGTATACTTAGTAACATATTTTATCTATATTAGTTCATTTTACGCTGTGGTCTCAACTCAAAAACATTGTAGAAAGTTAGTTTATCATCCTGTAACTGAGATTTATTAAGATACTACTTTGACAAAAATTAGAAGCATGAAAGTCATTGAAAAGGGAACATTTGGGTAGAGGATAATTTATAGAAGAGGACATGCACAAAGCTTATCTTTTAATTTCAGCACTGAAAATAAAAAGACAGAGAGTAGTTGATTCTGTTTGTTTGTTTGTTTGTTTGTTTTCAAGACAAGGTTTCTCTTGGAGGCTTGGCTGTTCTAGAACTTCCTCTGTAGACCAGGTTGGCCTTGAATTCAGAGATTGACCTGCCTCTGCCTCCTGAATGCTAGGATTGAAGGTGTGTGCACACTCAGCCAAGCATTTGACTCTTAATCTAAGTACACTCAAGTCAAACTAAAATTACCAGCTCGTCAATGTGTAGGCATTGTATGTTCTGTGTAACAGACCTTCCTAACTAGTGCTTCTTTTGTAGGTTGCTAAATAACCATCATGATGATGCCTCTAAGTTCATCTGGCTCCTAGCAAAACCCAGCTGCAGCTATCTGGAACAGGAGGATTTTATCCCTTTACTTCAGGTGATATATATAGATATATATTTTGGAGTTTGAAAGTGGGGAGTTGTTTGTTTGTCCGCTTGTTAGTGACAGGATCTTACCATATAGTCCAGGCTAACATCAAACTTTTAATCTCAAAAGCTAGGATTAAGGTACACATCACCATGACTGGTAAGACATTTTTTCTTTTTTATTTTAAGATGCAAGTATAATACTATGTCAATAGAGCTACATATATCTAGAGGCCAGATTACTAAGAATGGTTTTTATAGTTGTTCTAGTAGTGAAATCTTTTGTTAGACAAAATCTAAAACAGAACCCATAGTATAAAATAGACAAAACAGGGCTGCTTACACTGCATTTGGCCTTCTCCTTAGTCATTCACAGAAACCAGTGAAACATCTTATGAAACCTTAGAAATGGAAAAGATAGCTTGGAAGGGACTGCACTGATGGCTCAGAGGTTAAGAGCACTACTGGCTGCTCTTCCAGAGGTCCTAAGTTCAATGCCCAACACCCACATGGTGGTTCAAAGTTATTTATAATGAGATCTGGTGCCCTCTTCTGGCATACGGGTAGAACACTATACATAATAGATAAATAAATCTTTAAAAAAGAAAGATAGCTTTGAAAATACTAATAGCAACCATTGTTAAGAACCTATGAGGAACTGATAGCTGCTGGAAGAGAGAAAATCAGTTTTCTTAATAGCATGACACTGAGTTTATCAACCATACTCCAGGGCAAGCCTCATGCTCAGAAATAGTTGGCCAACATAAAATGAACTCCATAGTGGTAGTGGTGGTAGTGATAGGGTGTATCTGTGTGTGTGTTCTGGTTTTTTGTTTGTTTGGTTGGTTTTTGGTTTTTGGAGACAGGATTTCTCTGTGTAATGGCCCTAGCTGTCCTGGAACTAGCTCTTGTAGACCATGCTAGCCTCAAACTCACAGAGATCCGCCTGCCTCTGCCTCCCAAGTGCTGCCATGTGGGGTTAAAGGCGTGCACCACCACCACCTGACTTGGTTTTGTTGTTGTTGTTGTAAGAGTGAGAAAAACATAAAGTTGGTCATCTAGGAGGAGCTAAAGGAGGGAAAGGTTATGATCATAAAATTAAAAATAAAGAATCTAATGAGAAGCAAGAAATCAAAACAACTATAATGAACTCTGGAGTCTTCACTCAGGGTGTCTTGACTCTTCGATTAGAGCACATCCAAAATGGTGCTCTAGTTTCTCCACTAGATCTGTTTGTACATAAGATTAGAATAGGAAGAAGCTGTGCATGGTGGCGAATGCCAGTGCCTTCCTGTAATCCTGGCTCTAGGAGCCTGAGCGAGAGAATGTAACCTATGCTACATAACTTACCCAGATCTGTCTCAAGAAACCATTGAATGTGGGGGCTGGAGAGATGGCTCAGTGGTTAAGAGCATTGCCTGCTCTTCCAGAGGTCCTGAGTTCAATTCCCGGCAACCACATGGTGGCTCACAACCATCTGGAATGAGGTCTGGTGCCCTCTTCTGGCCTACAGACATACACACAGACAGAATATTGTATACATAATAAATAAATAAATAAATAAATATTTAAAAAAAAAGAAACCATTGAATGAGTGAATAATGGAATAAAAGAATGGAAACTTGAATCAAGCATGCTGAGGTCTGCAAAGACAGTTCCCACCAGCCCATAAAGGTAGGCAGGAACAGAGTGGGGGGAGATGTACTTGTAGGGGAGAAAAAAAACAAAGCCTGCCTGTGAGAGCACAGCAGCCTAGGAATAATGTAGGTTAAGGGCAATGGGCCCTACTACTATCATCAGATTTCAGGAAGATTAGTAATTTATATTATTTGCATAGGCTCTGTATTACTCTTCCAAAGTACTCACTCATGTGAAACAATTTTCACTAATGGAGCCAAATAAATGAAACAATAGTACACTTCTCGTTTTTTTCTTTTCTGTTTCTAAGATGTTAAAATCTGTTATTTACAAATGTGTTTTCTACATGTAGAAAGGATATAGCTCAGATCTTTAAGAATAAATCTCAGAACTATAAGTATCTTTGGGATGGAGCATTGGCCCAATGGTTAAGAGCACTGTTGCTCTTGAAGAGGACCTGGGTTTGATTCTCAGCATCCACATAATAGCTTCAACATCCTCTTCTGGCCTCCATGAGCACCGGGCATGTGGTGCACAGACACAACACTCATAACACATAAAATAATAAAGAAATCTAAAAAAAATTTTTTTAAAGTTTTTCTTTTCTTTCACTTTTTGAAGTTTTTTAACATCAGCCCTTATATACCAGTCTGGAAGAAAATGTTAACTGAGGTTCCTTCAGCGTGGAGCTGTACCACAGGTTGAATTTGAGGGTTATTATTGAAGTAGCAGTGATCCATGACCATATCCTTCAAATCCAGAAATTCTTTGCTTCTTTTTTACAATAAATCACTCCCAGAATCTAAAAGAGAGAAAGTGTGTGTGTGTGTGTGTGTGTGTGTGTGTGTGTGTTGCGCGCGCATTCTAAGGGTACACTCTGTACTCATGGAAGCCAGAGGGTGATACCCTGCTCTTCACTCTCCACCTGATTCCTCTGAGACAGATTTCTCACTGAACCTGGAACTCAGTATCAGTGACCCTCCTGTCTTTGTCACCCATAGTGCTGGGGAAGATATTCAGCAAGGATCCAAATTTTTAGATAGAAGTATGTTCATGAGATTATTGTGCAATTCACTGAATATAATCAATAACAATGTGTATTCTTTTTGTTTTGTTTTGTTTTGTTTTGAGATAAGATCTGACTGTATAGTCCTAATTGTTCTGAAATTCACTCTGTAGACCAGACTGACCTTGAACTCAGAAATCCTCCTGCCTATGCCTCCCAAGTACTTGGATTTGGTGTGTGCCACAATACCTGACTATAATGTATATTCTTGAAAATTCCCGAGAATAGGTTTTCAATGCTCTCACCACACATGAAAAAATGAGTATTATAACTGCTCAGGATTCTGAGAAAAAGTGATCACCGGGTGCTCAGCTCTAAATAGGACACTTATACCATACTATGTGAAGCCCAGAAAACATCACGGGTAAGGGAGCAGAAAAAATTAAGAGCTGGAAGACTGGGAGAAGGACTGTGAAGGGCTGTCATTTCATGACACAGCCCTTGCAAATATGGTCTAACTGCAGCTAGCATTGTTTGCAGTGGGCATACACAAGACTGGGCCTGTCATCAGCAATGGTTCAGGGAGGGGGCTCATGGGACTATAACCTCTGCCCTAGTTTGCTTCTCATTGATAAAACTCTAACCAAAAGCAACTTGAAAAGGAAAGGGTTTATTGGGACTTATATGTCCCAATCACAGTCCATCACTGAGGAAAGTCAAGGAAGGAATTATGGAGGAAAGCTGCTTATTGGCTTGCTCTCCATGGCTTCTTCATCTTGCTATCTTATGCCACTCAAGATCACCTGACCAGCGGTGCTACCTCTTACAGTGAGTTGGGCCCTCACACATTAATCATTAACCAAGAAAATGCTCCATAATCATGCCTACAGGCCAATCTGATGGAGGCAGTTTCTCAGTTGAAATCCCTTTTCCCACAAATGTCTAGATTTGTATCGACAGAAACTAACCTGCATACTTTACCTGCTGAATTACTGGCTGCTCATAGATTCTAAAGAAGGGACAGTCATTTCATTTGGTAGTTGGTAGGCTTTGATGAGCCTACCAGACTCTTGCCGATAGTTCCAAACCTGTGATCACTCACAGAACCATAGTTGAAATAAGTGGATAACAAAACAAAAAGATATGAAAGTGAGAAAGGGACTTGGAGGGAGGAACAAAGATGACGGGTAGAATGACCTTGAACTCTTGATTCTTCTGCTGTCTTCCCAAGTACTGGGATTATAGACAAGCACCACTACAGATGGGCTATGAGATGCTAGACATTGAACCAAGGATTTCATACATCCTAGGCACTCTACAAACTAAGCTATATAACCCACCCAATTCTTCAAAGTTTTTAACTATGAAAAGTGTTTTATTGTTTTGGTTGTTTTGTTTTGTTTTTGAGGCAGGGTCTCCTTAAGTATCTCTGGCTGGTCTGAAACTTGCTATATAGGCCTCAAACTCAAAGAGATCTGCTAGTCTCTGCATCCTGAGTGCTATTAATTAATCCATGATGTTCCATCATGCCCAGCTGCAACGTGTTTTTTGAGAAATGATTTTACAGTCTTATACCTAAAACTGACTTCAAACTCACCATGGAGCTTAAACTATTTTGAACTCACAGTCCTTCTGCTGAAACTCCTGAGTGCTAGTATTAGAGGTATGTGTCATGCTTCCTAGTCTTATTATGGAGATTTTGCACATACACAAATTGAGGGGGGGGGGAATCTACTTACTTGTCAACCTAGCCCCAATATTGATCAAGAGCTAAAGAGACAGAGAATAGAAAATCAGTAGCATTTTTGCTAAATCAAAATCTTTTTTTGTTTTGTTTTGTTTTTGTCTTTATTTTGAGACATTGTTTGACTATGTAGCCCTGGCTGGCCTGGAACTCCCCATGTAGACCAGAATGCCTTCAAATTCACAGAGATCTGCCTTCCCCTGACTCTGGAGTGATAGGATTAAAGCTTACATTGAAATCTTAGTGCTTGACAATATTAACAAAACAGACCAACAACTAATTTAATCAAAGGAAAATGGGGTTGTACGTATACACAACAGAATATTTTTTACCTGTAAAAGAAATTATATCATGACATTTGCAGAAAACATAAAAGGACTTGAGGTCATGAAGTGAAATAAGCTAGACTCAGACAAATCTTGTATGTTTTTTCTCATGTGGTTCTAGGTTTAAATTTGTGTGTGTGTGTGTGTGTGTGTGTGTGTGTGTGCATGCACACAAACGCATGCATCACATAACATAAAGGAGTGTCATGAAAGTAGAAAGGAGGCTAGGAAAGAACTTACAGGATTCAGAGAAAGAAAGGATAACAAAATATATGTGATAGAAGGGAAGGATTTTTTTGAGAGAAAGGAACCAGCAACAGTGGTATACTTGTAGTTCTGCTTCTTCCTTGGGGTGGTCAGCCATCAGTCCATGAGGGTAGAAGGAGCAGATGCAGGGCTCAGGGTTCAGATGGTTGCAAATATGATAGAGATAGCCATCTGGGATGTGACCTCAGTGAATCAGCTCAACTTGATTCCAGAGTATAAGAAATATATAACAATGGGAAGCCACAAAACAAACCTGAATTTGTAGGGATAAGTCCGGCCCCTTAGGGGGCGTGTTTGCCTCAGGCTAATGTTTACCTATAAATCTGGCCAGCATGCTAGCAGCACTTGCTTCTGCTTTCCTGGTCTCTGCTGGAACGGTGGTTCTGAAGTCTATTACGCCATTAAAGCTGTATATATTTTTATAATCTGTCTGCATTCATTTACGCCGTTACATGAATTTGCATTAAGTGGCAGACTACTTATCATGTAATAGCTGGATTAGTAGAAGCACAGCCCTACCAAAAAGGCTAGAGCATTTGCCTGATTACCATGTGGTCAGTAGGGGAAGAGCGTTTGCAGGGAACTGTGTAAAGGGTCATCCCTGAGATAAGTCAGGCATCCAGGCCTAGAGACAGCCTTCAGTTAATGCTAGGTAAAGAGCAGGATGCTTCACTGAGGGAAGAGGGGAGTCTTCCATGTTGCCAAGCTTAAAGAAAGCTGCCAGACTATGGCAGACTGTAACCTCTGACCAACATATACTCCCAACATATACTAACTTTAAAAATTAATTTTAAAAGAAGTAAGTACACTTTAAAATTTTGTTTACTTGGGGCTGGAGAGATGGCTCGGTGGTTAAGAGCATTGCCTACTCTTCCAAAGGTCCTGAGTTCAATTCCCAGCAACCACATGGTGGCTCACAACCATCTGTAATGAGGTCTGGTGCCCTCTTCTGGCCTGCAGATGTACACACAGACAGAACATTGTATACATAATAAATAAATAAATATTTTAAAGAAGAAAAAGTTTTAAAAAAAATTTTGTTTACTTATTTTATGTGTATGAGTGCTTTGTCTGTATGTCTGTCCACCACATGTGTGCCTGGTGCCCATGGAGGCCAGAGGAGGGTGTTAGGTCCCCTGGGACTGTAGTTACAAATGGTTGTGAGTCACCATGTGGGTGTTGGGAATTGAACTCAGGTCATCTAGAAGATCAGCCAATGCTCTTAGATAATCTCTCTGTCCCCAAATACATTTTCAAAAGACAAAACTAATAAAATGCTAATATTATTAAATAGCAAATGCCTACATTGAAACAGAAGAAAACTTAAAGTCACAAAAGACTCTTTTATAGTCGTGTGTGTCATTGTGGTAGTGGGCTTGGAACAGAGTAGCTGATGGTCTGCAGAGCAACATGCCCAAGTTCTGTCCTAATTACTGGAACACATGCCTCACCCATGACTTCATCTGTGAGAAAGACACACTGGGTGGTAGGTAGAACACAGAATGGTAAGTGCAACTGTCTGACATGTAAGACCAAACTCAGAGTTGGACTGATACCAGTGACTACGATCCAACAAGGAAAGATACCTGCCACGTATTCTTCCTTCTCCCTGCAGGGACATGATCCCACCTCTCTCCAGTTTCTCCATTTTATCTTCACATTGGTATGATGCCAGCACTCCACATGAGAAGCCTTCAGATGATGTCAGTGATAGGCCCTTCTCTTGGTAATAAACTACTTCTCTAAAAGGAACCAATGCTAAGTGCTTCATAGGGGAAATTGATCAAATCTTCAGACTAGGTAGTCTAATATTTTCTAAATCATTGCAGTATTAAAATGGATACTCTATAGGTTATTTCTGAAATGAACATCACTGATACCTAAGTCAGGTAACCACAGTACAAAGAAAACTACAAATAAATGCAATTTCATGATTAGTGATAAAAATGCTACCAAATAGAATATGTTATGACCCAGTGACATTTATCCCAGAAGATTTGGGGTTAGAGAGATGGCTCAGTGATGAAAAGCACTTGCTGAGGACCTAGATTCTGCTTTTTTCTGCAGTAGATGGCAATTATACAAAGATCCACAGCTGGTCAGTGTGCAGAGCATAAAAGACCGTGGAATTCTTAGCTCTAAGTGGGACAAGGATCATTACAGAAGAGGAGCACAATGATTGTAAGAGCCAAAGAAAACAGAGTTTGCCAGATATGACAGGGACATTGCATGTGTGTGTTTATAGCAGCGGTGACTGGATGCTCAAGACCTGCACAAAATCAAATGGAAAAAATCTCAGCATGGGTCAGGGAGGAGCTCATGAGGTTCTTACTGAGGAGCTATTGGCAATTGATGGCTGCTAAAGGAGGGGAAGTCAGTTTTCTTCAGGAATGTGGCCCTTGAGAAACTACCCATGCTCCAATAAATGGTCCTACACTCATGCACATGCATGCAGCACTAAGTGGACCTGGTGAGTTTTAAAAATGAAGACATGAAATGAAGAATGATGAGTAATAAGGGAAGAATTGGAGGGAAGGGAATGGGAGGGTCCATTTGATCAAAGCCCACTGTAGATATGTGTAAAATTCACAAACAAAAAAATTATTTTAAAAGACCAAAGGAACTGTATACAAATAATATATTGAGTATGTTTATTTCTCACTGGTGTTAGTGGTTCTCTTGGTATAGTAGAATTGAACAAATAAGTAGCTACATTTTAGATGAGAGCCAGGTTTCTCACTTTTATAGTTACAAAGGAAAGAAGGAAGGTTTAAGTAAACTTTGTGGTATTGGATTGGAATCAGAGTTACTTGTTAATACACAGTATTTGATATATATTCATAAAGTTTCACAAAGGCACATACATGTTTTTTTTAGTTATGTTTGCTAATAGAGTCTGAGAGCAACAATACTGAGTAATAGTAGACACACATAGTACCTAGGCTCCATTTCTAAAATTCATCCCCAGTAAAATGGACTACAGATTCTTGGGGAGAAGGTAGATACATGGGAAAAGGAAAATACAAGATGAACTTGAAGTGCAAAAGGACAGGGCAGTCAGACGGACACAGGCTCCTAAATGAAAAAGCTCCAGATAGCCAAAGCTAGATCAATTTGAGCCATAAAACTAATCATATATTGCATGTGTGGTGCACTGAAAAGGGACACAGCATGGCTTCTATAGTATTTCTGATGAAAATGTGTGAAGAAAACTTGAAGAAGCTTCTACTTGAAGAAAACTTAAGACAAAACCAAACCAAGAGGTGTAATTTACCAGAATTCATTAAAAACACTGCACTCATGAAATACAGAAGGGCCAAACAGAACAGAGACCAGAGAAACCTTAAAGACTACATGCAGTAGACTAGAGGAACAGAATTGGGAAATGTTGAAATTTGAATAAGGTCTGTAGTTCAGTGCTATATAGATGTTTATTTCCTAGTTTTGATAATTGTTCTGTGATTTGTTACTGTCTCTGGAATCTGGAAGAAAGGCATAGAGAATTTCTCTGCAATATTTTACACAATTCATCTGAAAATTTAAAATTATTTCCAAATAACCATAAGCAGTAAAATATAGATATGTCTGTAACCAGAGACTGCTCTTAATTTTTTCCGGCTGCCCAGACACAAATAATCACACAAAAACTATATTAATTACAACACAGTTTGGCCAATGGCTCAAGAGTATTTCTAGCTAGCTCTTACTTCTTAAGTTAGCCCATTTCTATTAATCTGTGTATCTCTATGAGGCTGTGGCTTACCAGTAAGGGTCCATCTAGTCCCTCTCCTTTAGTAGCTACATGGTGTCTCTTTGACTCTGCCTACTCTTTCTCTATCTCTGTTCTGATTTCCTGCCTGACTTTATGCTGCTAAGCCATTGGCCCCAAAATCTTTATTCCTCAACCAATAAAAGCAACATATATACAGCAGGACATCACACATCATATGCCTGCTTTGGTAGGTATTGAAGTTGCCTCTGGCTATTAATTTAGGAGGAACATAGAGACTCTCTTTACAGTCTCTAAGGGCAAGGGTTCTTTAAAATTCCAGCTAGACAATAAAAAAAAGTTTTATCTCATAATCTTCCATGAGAACAAGATAATGGATTTTAGGTAAACAAAATCTTAAATTGAAAACAATTTTTTTCTGAATAATCTCTTTTTTCCCAAAAATTTGATGCCTATAGATTAAGAAAGAAAATAATTTTCATTGGCTTGTCTCTGTCATTATTCTTAGTATACTCTACCAAGATCTGTAGGATAACTTTTCCAAACAACCCTTAATGTATTAGAATTACAATACATACCTCTAAAACATTTGATTCACACATCACCAAATATAGCTAATTTAAAATTTTGTATTTAAACATATTATGTGTGTAGAAAATCATGTATTATAAACATGCTTAAATTTTCAGTGTACTGTACAGTATTCCAGAATAGAATATTTGCTCAACTATCTGCTTTTTCCACAAGAAGAAAAGGTTTCTGAAGAATTTTTTTAATGTTTATTAACTTTGTTTTGATTTCAATCTTTTTAAGGATGTGGTAGATACACACCCTGGCCTCACCTTCCTGAAAGATGCTCCGGAATTCCATTCCCGCTATATCACCACGGTAAGATGAGTACTGATTTGTCATAATAAAACTGCTTAAGTCATCTCTTTGTTGTTATCTACCATCCAGACTTTCACATTGTTGTACAGAAGGTAATTTGGGCTATAATGATTATTTTAAATGGAAAGAAGGTAAAAAGTAAAAATAAATGGGTTAATGTTTTATTTATATTCATATCCTTTCATATGTGGGTCAATACTTAACAGAGGTCTGTGGTATAAAATTGCACTGATATTCTGTCTGGTATTATGAAACATCTAATTACTCTTTTCTGAGACTTATTTTTATTTGTGTGGGTGTTTCACTTCCATGAGGGTCTGTACTCATGTGCATGTGGTTCCTGAGGAAGCCAAGAGGGGATCAGATTCCCACTGGAGCTTCAAGAATGCTGTGAGCTGCCATGTGGGTGGTAGGAACTGAACCTGGATCCTCTGGAAGAGTAGCCAGTGCTCTTAACCTCTAATCCACCTTTCTATCCAGTGTCTTTGCTCTTAGAAATGTTCATATTTGGTTGAGCTTTAGCAAACTCTCTGCCCTCTGCCTCTCCTCACTGTGACTAGGAGCCCCATTTCTGCTTCGGGTGCTTTGCTTTTCCTCCTCCCTGACATAGAATGCTCTCCTACAGGTTTTCATTCACATTACACTGATTCACCCTCACTTCCAGATTCTTGCTTAGATAGCCCCAGATCACTTTCTGCTTCATTTTTCTTAACTCTTTTCTGACATTTAATTTTTTTTATTGTCTATCTATAATATAAACTACATGAGAAAATGAACTTTATTTACATATTTTATTTATCTGGCTCAGTACTCAAATATGATGCCACTTAACAGCCACACATCTAATATTTTATTAAGTAAGTAAAATAATTCTTTTTTTTTAATTTTTCTTTTTTGAGACTAGACAGGTATTCTACAACTGAGCTACATACCTAATACTGTGAAATTATTCTTGCTTAAGGAGTCTACATTCGTGAGATGGCTCAACAGGTAAAGGTACTTACCACTAAGTGGTAAGTGGGCTTGAGTTCAGTCCCCGAGAAACCACACGGTAAAAGGACAGAACTCCTACAGGTTGTTCTCATCCTACGTACATGTGTGGGCACATAAGCATACATACACACCAAGTTTTTTAAATAATTCTACAGATCCAAAGGGAATTATTCAGTCTTGGTTATTAGCTAGTCTGTAAACTCAGGGCACATTAACAGCATAACTGAAGTTTTTCAGTGTGTGAATATAGTTTCAGCTATTTCAGAGGCTGAGGCAGAAGGATCTCAAGTTTGGGAGACCAGCCTGGGCCAAGAAGTAAGGTCCTCTCTCCAAAAAGAAAGAAAGAGAGAGAGAGAGAGAGAGAGAGAGGAAAGAAAGATCTTGAAAAGTGTTTTATTTTGAATTCATTATCAGAAAAGAACTTAATGAACAGAAAAGTGAAGAGATAAATATTCTTCATTCTTTCTAGTTTGCTATTTTTTGACATCCCTGAACCTATAGTAGTCAATGGTATTCCAGCAACTAGGACCCAAGAAGTTTATGATATTAAAGAAAAAAAGCTACAAAATCCCATTTTTTTAAGAAATCAGCTCAATAATTGTTGAACAAAAAAAAAAACATTAGTCACTCATAGGATACAGTTAGTTATCTTTACTGTTACCATTTTCATGGTGTTTGCATATGATTACTTACATGTTTATAATTTATTTATATTTTGGTGTTAATATTATGCTACTTCGTCTCCAATTTATAAGAATGAATCTATTGTTCGGAAATAGGCATTAAACTGCAAAGTACTTATAACAATAATAGAGCAGTTTGAGACAGCAGCATGAACTGGAGTATGAAGGCTCATTTGGAAGTACAGAATGTGACTCTACCATAGAGATACGGAATGACTGCTACTGTAGTAAGCTTATACCAACCCCCCAAAAGAAGTGCAGAGAAGTACAATAATAAAGGGCTGGGAATGTGTGTGGCGCAGCGGTAAAGCACTTGTCTGGCATGCAGTGCCCCAGTGCCAGAAATAGGTCAAAACAAAAATATAACAGTGAGTATCTAAAAGCAGAACTTTTCATTGCTTATCTGTTCTTTCGAGTGCTCTTTCCATTATGAAATCTAGTCAAATAATGTCATGAAGTAGCTGGAACTTGGATACTTTTTTAAAGTACAGTGAGTTTTTTCTAGAACAAATGCAACATAAGGTCTAGTATAAATTGTTTAATTGTATTCTTGGGCATGAAAGTGACCAAGCTAAAGAGAGGCTGCTCATAGCAAAAAAAGTGAAGATCATAATTACATAAATCATGAAAGTCTGTGATACAGGAATATATATTTTATTTTGGTAACTGTTTTGTCAGTTGTTTTTAGACCAGAAAGAACATCAACTAAGTAAAAAACTACTCTATAAATAAGCCTATATTCTTTATTTCCTGAACATTACCAATGGAAAAAAGCCTTTTGATAGTGAGTGAAAGTGAAAATATGAAATACTAGTAAATTACAGCCTTTGGATTGCAGTTTTGTGTGTTGGTGAATAAATGCTCTGCTTATGCATGCCAACATATGCCAGCTTTTGAAAAAGCAGGCAGCCCGTTTAAGTTTTTGAAGTGAGCAATAAGCCTTCAAAAACTTCCTCATGGCACTGGCATCAGCAGTGGAGTTATTCTGAGGCTCACGCAGATGGTGTCTCTCTTGGCCTGCATCTATCACTTAGGCTGGAGTGGCTAAGTTGTGCCGTTGCTACTTCTCACCACCAAGAACTTTTAAACCCGTTCCCCTTTTCTCTTGACAGAGAAAGAAATCACATTTTTAGAAAATTTTTAGTTTTCCAAGTTATTTAGAAAGACATTGAAGAAATTGCATAGCCATAACAATGAAAGAATGAATTAGTGATCCATTCACTATGCCTTTCCAGGTAGAAGAGCCAGGCTCCTATTGTTTGAGTGTGTCTATCTGCACTCATCACCTATAGTTAGAATTCTTTGTTAATTTCTGTCTGTATTTAATCTGCTTTCAAAACTAGCATGTAATAGAGTCAAACATTTCCTTTTGGTCTATATTGTGAATTAGTTTCCATATATATATATATATATATATATATATATATATATATATATGGGAAACTGACATATGATTCAACTTGTCTATCAGATTGACTAGATCTGGTGAGAGATTGTTTCATTCCTCTCACTGGCAGTAAATAATGATTCTTGTTATTTTCTTATATTTTAAAATGTTAAATAGCAAGCATGATGGAGAGCTGCTATATGCTTTCACCACTAGATGGTAGCCCTACTTCAATGATGAAAAATGCAGACTCCATAATGGGGAAACAAATAAATGTGCTATGAAGTTGAGCCTCAGAATGTGGAGACTGGGAAATGGAAGATACAAATGCAATATTTTACTTTGCTAAAGAAGCCACTTAGCAAAAGCTCACAACAGAACACACCTAACAAACATATGGTTTCTTTTATTTTACATGTATGAGTATTTTGCTTGCATGTATGTATGTTTATCACATGCCTGCCTGGTGCCACAGAGGTCAGAAAAGGGCATCAGATCCCCTGGATCAGATGGTTGGGAGCCACCATGTGGGTGCTGGGAACCAAACTTAGGTCTTCTACAAGAGCAACAAGTGCTCTTAATCACTGATCTATCTCTTCATCACATAAAACATGAAAGTTTTAAATTCTGCCAAAATGTAAAAAAGAGGCTGGAAAAAAATGGTTCCACAGACTAAAAACTCTTCTAGAGAACCAGAGTTTGGCCCTAGCACCCACATGGACAATTCAAAACTACATGTAACTCCCAACCTGGTCTACAAGAGCTAGTTCCAGGAGAGGCTCCAAAGCTACAAAGAAACCCTGCATCGAAAAACCAAAGGAAAAAAAAACTACATGTAACTCCAGCTCCAGGGGAATGTGATGCCCTCTTCTGGACTCCATGGACACCCACTTACATATAGGTGCTTCTGATCACATTTAACATAAATATACATATTTTACAGAAATTTTAAAAAGTAGGAGAAAAAATAATGCAAAGTTTTATAATATTATATCTTGCTTTCATAAATGATATATTTGAGTAGAGTACATACTTTAAATTAATAATAATAAAAATAATCTAAACCAAGAAATAAATTTACATTGGGTAGTAGCAGTGCACGCCTTTAATTCCAGCACTCTGGAGGCAGAGGCAGGCGGATCTCTGTAAATTTGCAACTAGCCTAGTAGTCTACAAGAGCTAGTTCCAGGGCAGGCGCCAAAGCTACAGAGGAACCCTGTCTCAAAAAAAAAAAGGAAGGGAAGGAAAGAAGGAGGGATGGAATGGAAATTTACACAAAACTACTCTAATGCTACTGAACAAGAAAATTTTGATGTGTATATTGAAATTGACTTTGAGGGACAGCAAGATAGTTCAGCAGGTAAAGGCAACTGCCACCAAGCCTCATGACCTGAATTCAGTTCCTAAAATGACAAAGTGGAAAGGACCAAATTCCAAAAGCTGTCCTCTGGCCTCCATACTTATGCCATGGCACACATACATGCACAAACACACACACATACACACGATGGATGGATAGGTGGCTGGCTGGGTGGCTGGGTGGATGGATGGATGGATGGATGGATAGATAGATGGATAGATAGATAGATTTAATTTTTTTTAGGAATTGCCAGAAGTAGTAATACACACCTTTAATCCCAGCACTCAGGAGGCAAAAGCAAGTGGATCTCTGAGTTTGAGGCTAGCCTGGTCTACATATTGAGTTCTTGGCTAGCTAGGGATACATAGTGAGAACCTGGTGAGGGGGGTGGTAGTTGTTTCTTTTATTTATTTATTTTTTTAAGAAATTGACTATGAAAGAGAGTGTGGTGTTTTATAAATGCTTTTTTTCTTTGTTTTATTGGAGACAGGGTCTTACTGTATAACCCAGGCTAGCCTAGAATTTACTATGTAGGTCAGAGGCCTCTAATTTGTGATCCTTCTGCCTCTGCTGGGATTACAGACATGTATCACCATGCCAAGTAAAATGAGATTCTTAGGGTTCATTTCCACATCAAATTTCTGTTCTGTACTGAGAGTCCTTTTTTTTTTCTTTTTAAATGACTTGACTTTTAATGTCAGGCTTATGGAGAGGATACTACACTGAATAAGACACATCTTTTGGGACTAGAGAGATTGTACAGTGGTTAAAAGAACTTACTACTCTTGCAAATAGCTAAGTTTGGTTCCCAGTACCTTTGTAATGCCTGACAAGAACCTGTAACTCCAGTTCCAGGGAATCTGAAGCACTCTTCTGGCCTCTAAGAGCACTTTATGCATGCAGTGCATATAAACTCATAACAACAAATAAATAACATGTATCCTCATTCATCAAGAACCTCTGAATCTGAATGCTTAGGAACAATGGAGAAATTAAGCACCAGCTACTTCTGGCTTCTACCTAATGCATCAGTCCTGTCCACTTCAGCCTAAGAACTTGACAAAAAGTCATGACTTCATACAAACCCATTTCTTTATATAGTGTTAATTTTGGAAAGTCTCCCTTATATTGTAGCATTTGATGAGTATAAGCGCACTTCTTAGTGGTTCTAATTCTGTCCTCTATTCCAACTGCTGCTTCTACCCAGTAGTTAGCCGTTCAGATTGTGATGACATCTTCACTCCAGTCTTGTTTTCCTTAGATTCAGCTTTTGCTACATAAGTAATACCTCTATTGTTCACTTTTATATTTTCTACATATTTATGTATCACAGACAAAAATACTGATTTGCAGGAATATTAAAGGTCATTTTATTGCTATATTTTTTTAGCAGAATAATAGTAGTAGGTTTTCCCCTATGCCCATGGACGATCTAGGCTCAGGTTCGTGACTGCTTTAGCAGTGTCAGGTCTGGGTTTCATCTCACAGTGTGGACTTTTAAAGCCCAATTAAAAGGTGGTTGGTTGCCAGGCAGTGGTGGTGCATGCCTTTAATCCCAGCACTTGGGAGGCAGAAGTGGGTGGATCTCTATGAGTAAGAGGCAAGGCATATCTACAGAGTGATTTCCAAGACAACCAGAGCCGGGCGGTGGTGGCGCACGCCTTTAATCCCAGCACTTGGGAGGCCGAGGTAGGCGGATCTCTGTGAGTTTGAGACCAGCCTGGTCTACAGAGCTAGTTCCAGGACAGGCTCCAAAGCCACAGAGAAACCCTGTCTCGGAAAAAAAAAAAAACCAAGACAACCAGAGCTGTTATAAGAGAAACCGTTTCAAATTAAAAAAAAAAAAAAGAATAAAAGAACAGTGGTTGGTTACTTTCGTAACATTTGTGCCACTATTGCTAAATCTTCCAGGCAAGTCACTGTTACAGGTAACCAGGGTTTGTAGCTAGAAAATATTGATGATTACCTTTTCCCTCTGGTAGCAGCAGAGTACATTCCCATACCATGAATTCCAGTAGGAGTGAAGCTTCTAGTTCGCACCAGCTTTACCTCTCTGTATTCAATGACATACATAAATATGTCTTCAGCAATGGGGCTTACTTACTATTAGGTTGCAGAGAGTAGCCAATACCTTTGACAATAATCTATAATATTTGGGGTTTCCATGGGACCAAGGTCTCAACAAGATGTAACTCAATTCTGGCACTGAAGGTTTATTTAACTTGGTAACATAAGATGTCTAGTTGGGGCAGGCATTGTCTCCACTATTATTTGGTGACTCCATTTAGATTTATTTCATATATGTATATATTTTAGAACATTTCTACAGTAATAAGTTCCCATATGGAATTTGATTATTTCTTGCATTCTGCTCTTTTAGGGTATTATTTCTTCTTGTTTCAGGGCTTTCATGAGTGTCACTGAGTTACTGAGATTTCTCCAGTTCACATAGATACTTAATGCTGTGAACATGCCTCTTAAAACTGCCCTCATTGTGTCTGATAGGTTTGAGTACATCGTGCTTGCATTTTCATTCAATCCTTAAAAGTTTTTAATTTCCTTCTTGAGTTCTGTCTTGACCCATTTTTTCATTCAGTAGTGAGTTGTTCAGTTTTCATACATTTGTACATTCTGTGTTGTTTTTGTGGTCAGGAAGAAGGCTGGATGTTACTTCAATTTTCTTATATCTGTTGAGACTTGTTTCATGTCCAAGTATGTCAGTTTTAGAGAACGCTCCATCAGCTGCTGAGAATAAAGTATATTCTTCTGTATTTGGATGAAATAGTCTATAAATGTCTACTGTGTCCCATTGATTTATGACATTATTTAGCCCCAGCATTTCTCTGTTTCATTTGTGTCTGGATGATCTGCATGACATTTTTAATGGAAAGAGCTGGGTATTAAAGTTACCCACTATCACTATGTAAAGGTCTATATGTGATTTCTAGCTGTAGTAGTGCTTCTTTTATGAACTTGAGTACCCTTGTGTTTGATGTATAAATGTTTAGAATTGCAATGTCATCTTGATATCCCCTCCCTTTAATGAGTATGTAGTGTCCTTTCCTATCTCTTTTGATTAGTTTTGGCTAGAAGTCTATTTTGTTAGATATTAAAATGGTCATACCTGTTTGCTTCTTGTACTGGGAGCTAGTCATCTGGAGTATGATGTCTGAAGAGTTTCTTGATGTCGATATGTGGTCTTGTCTTTGTTGGGTAAGTGTTATATTCTTTGGTTGATGTTGCCCTCTCTGGATCCAAGGCAAGTGTGGTGGCTGTGGGTCCCTGGTAGAGAATTTCTGAGAACACCAGGTGACAGAAGGTATAGAGATGAGCTAGGAGGAAAGGCTGAGAGGGTTTGGGTGAAAAAACTAATCTGGTCAATTTCAAACTACATATGTAGAGTTAGAATACACAGTTCTATTTTTTACTCAGAATTGCAATTGGTATCAAAAGTTGTTACTTAAATTAGTGTAACACAAATAATAAGAACCCAGAGACAGATATTGGGGTTCAACCTGAAGATCAGAGAAGCAGAGCAGCCAACTACTAGCGAGCGAGCTCTTACCTCTATGAAATCTTCAGACTGAAAGAGAGCAAGTTCCTGTCTCATCCCACCTTATATTCCTCTCCAGTGCTGGGATTAAAGGCATGCACTACCACCGCCCAGCCTCTATGGCTAACTAGTATGGCTGCTGGGATTAAAGGTATGTGCCACCACTGCCTGGCATGTATGGCTGACTAGAATGGTTGCTTTGCACTGACCTTCAAGCAAACTTTATTTATTAAAACACAAATGATATACCACTATAAATTAATTTTATATATTCATAATCTTGCCTTAGATAGGGTAATAGGTTTTCTATCCCCCAATAATAGGTTTCTCCACCAGTGCAGTAAGCCAGATCAAGGAGAACTAAAAAAGTATAGCAGGTTTATTTGAACAAAGCAACTCCCAGGTGGCTTCTCCAGTCCCAGAGACTGAGGCCAGAGAAGTCACATGCCCAAACTAAAGCAGGGAGATTATACAGACTGTAGACAAAGGGTGATGATGTGCCTACCACAAGCTGGGTTTGTGCCCAAGTGTGCTCAAAAGCTTGGGCTGCTGGCAGCAATAGGGGAGGAAGTTGTCATAGTCACCAGGAATGAGGAACTGGACTTTTTGGCACCTTTTTTTAATGCTGTAGATTTCTCTGAGAAGGTGCAGTTTGGAAAATAAAAGAAAGGAATGGGGCTTTCCATATCATGCAGGGGCGAGCTGGAGCTTCCAGCCAAACACAGATTAATAGACATCTGAACTGTTTTTAATGTCCTTTCTGTTTTTGTTTTCCTTTTGGAACCAGGTTGTTCAGAGGATATTCTACACAGTCAACAGATCTTGGAGTGGAAAAATTACTTCAACAGAGATAAGGAAAAGCAACTTTTTACAAGTATGTCTGTCATAAAGATACATAAAGAACAATTTTATAATTTTACTTTACTTAAATTTATTTTTTCTTATTCTATTGCAAAACACCGACTATCACTGTTTCCAGGATGTAAGCACTTATCAATTACCCGTGTGGTGGGGAGGGGCTGCTAAGGTAAAATAATATGGGATTTCTGCCTGAAGGCATACAATATGAAACAAAAACACAAATGCGCTTCCACACCTGAATTGATAGATATGCCTAGAAGGTGCAGAGGAAGCCTCAGAAGGATCAGCATGTGATCTTCATCTTGGTGAATATCAGAAGTTTACCAGTTTAGCAATGGAAAGGGGTTTCCAATAGCAGCAGCAACACAAGCCAAAGCCAGAGACAGAAAGTGTCCTTGTGTTCAAGAACTTCTCACCAGTGGAGGTGTCAACAAGGTGGGAAAACTGGGCTTACCAAAGAAATGAACATTCATGGACTTGATTCCTCGGTAATGACTCTATCTTGTTGCTGCTGGAAGTACTACATCTTATTCAGTTATTTTATCAAAAAAAAAATGACTGACCACTAGTGGGAGCCTTTTACTGCGGTAATCTTGATACCTCATTGTTTATGCTTCTATAAATGTAAAGAAAATGGAATGGTCCACACATTTGAAAGAAAAATATATATATTTTAAATGGATCATACTAAATGAAGCTTATACTGATAACAGTCCCTTATTACTCTATATTTGCCCTATCTTCATCTCCATATGAAAAGACTGGAGACCTAGAAAAATAGCAATCCATAACGGATAGAAAAAATAATTTTATTATTCTAAAATAGTAGTTCTTAACCTTAGAAACTGAACAACCCTTTCATGAGAGTTGCATATCAGATATTATGATTCATAACAATTGCAAAATTAGTTATGAAGCAACAACAAAAATAGTTTTATGGTTGGGAGTAATCACAACATGAAGAACTACATTAAAGAGTCACAGCATTAGGAAGGTTGTGAATCACTGTTTAAAATGAACAGTCATCGCTGGGCGATGGTGGCACACACCTTTAATCCCAGCACTCGGGAGGCAGAGGCAAGCAGATCTCTGTGAGTTCGAGACCAGCCTGGTCTACAGAGCTAGTTCCAGGACAGGCTCCAAAGCCAAAGAGAAACCCTGTCTCGCCAGACCCAAAAAGAGGAACATGGGATGTACTCACTCATATTTGGTTTCTAGCCATAAACAAAGGACATTGAGCCTCTAATTAGTGATCCTAGAGAAGCTAAATAAGGAGAACCCAAAGAAAAACATATAGGCATCCTCCTGAATATTAACCTTCATCGGGGGATGAAAGGAGACAGAGACAGAGACCCAATTTTGAGCACCGGACAGAAATCTCAAGGTCCAAATCAGGAGCAGAAGGAGAGAGAGTACGAGCATAGAACTCAGGACCGCGAGGGGTACACCCACACACTGAGACAATGGGGATGTTCTATCGGGAACTCACCAAGGCCAGCTGGCCTGGGTCTGAAAAAACCTGGGATAAAACCAGACTCGCTGAACATAGCGGACAATGAGGACTACTGAGAACTCAAGAACAATGGCAATGGGTTTTTAATCCTACTGCACGTACTGGCTTTGTGGGAGCCTAGGCAGTTTGGATGCTCACCTTACTAGACCTGGATGGAGGTGGGTGGTCCTTGGACTTCCCACTGGGCAGGGAACCCTGATAGCTCTATGGGCTGACAAGGGAGGGGAACTTGATTGGGGGAGGGGGAGGGAAATGGGGGGAGGTGGCGGGGAAGAGACAGAAATCTTTAATAAATAAATAAACGAGGGAAAAAAAGAAAAACCAAAAAAAAAAAAAGAACATTATCCGAGGAGGGGAAAAAATAAAATAAAATAAAATGAACAGTCATCATCACAATCATTGTTGATATTTATTGAAAATCTGGTACCTGCCTGGGCTATTAGTAGGTATTATAAAATGGATTAAGAAGGTAGAAATTTTCTTAAAAACTCAAAATGGTTTTTTCCTTTTTTATTTTATGGGTATTGGTATTTTGTCTGCATGTATGTCTGTGTGAAGATGCTGGATCCCCTGGGAACTGGAGTTACAGACAGTTGTGAGCTGCTATATGGGTGCTGGGAATTAATTGAACCAGGTTCTCTCGAAGAGCAGCCATGACTCTTAATCACTGAGCCATCTCTCAAGCCTATCCCTCTTTGGTTTTTCAAGACAGGATTTCTCTGTGTAACACTTGCTGTCCTGGAACGCACTCTGTAGACCAGGCTGGTCTCCAACTCAGAGATCCACCTGCCTCTGCTTCCCAAGTACCAAAGTAAAGGTGTGCATCACCACCACCCAGCAATTTCTCACATTCTTTTTTTTCTTTTTTTTAATAAATTATGTTTATTGTTAGCATTCTATTTATTCATCTTTGCTTTTGAGTCAGAATATTTTTTGTGGTTAGTTTTCTTTTTTTGTTTTTGTTTTTATTTATTTATTTATTAAAGATTTCTGCCTCCTCCCCGCCACCGCCTCCCATTTCCCTCCCCCTCCCCCAATGAAGTCCCCCTCCCTCGTCAGCCCAAAGAGCAATCAGGGTTCCCTGCCCTGTGGGAAGTCCAAGGACCACCCACCTCCATCCAGGTCTATTTTTATTTTATGATCATTAGCGTTTTGCCTACATATATTTCTTTGAGGGTGTCACAAGCCCTGAAACTGGAGTTACAGACAGTTGTTAGCTGCCATGTGGGTGCTGGGAATTGAACCTGGATCCTCTCAAAGAGCAGCTAGTGCTCTTAACAGCTGAGCCATCTCTCCAGCCCCAATTTCTCACATTCTTAATGCATATATGGATATACAGTGCATACATACCTGTTACCAAGGAGATCAGAAGAAGGTGTTGGATCCCATGGAACTGGGTCATGAATCATTGTGAGCTACCATGTGGGACTGAGAACTGAACCAGATCCTCTCTGCAAGAGCAGTAAGTGCTCTTAATCCCTGAGCCAACTTTGCAGCCTTCAAATCGTTGTCATTTTAATAAATTCATTCTGTAATAATATAACTGGAGACAAGCATAGTTGAATAACTTGCATAGAAGCACCCAGCTAGCTAGTAGTTGCAGAACTGAGAGCAGAATTCAGATGTTCTTCTTCTGCAGAGTAACTTATTCCCCTCTTCCTTTATTTCCTGATCCATCTCCTTATTCTTCCACTGAGTCCATGAACAAATGCTCAAAACATTCTAACTTATGAATATATTTAGAGTAAAAAATAAGCAAAAATTGGTTTATCTCTTTACACAACATTTCATGGACTTTCCCATAGAGAGAACTCATACATCTGTATTCTTAAATTTTATTCATTTATCTTTTTATGTGTATAAATGTTTTGTCTGCATGCATGTATGTGCATCACATGTGTGCCCTCAGAAGCCAGAAGAGGGTGTCAGGTCCCCTAGGGATGGAATTATAGAGGGTTGTGAGCCGTCATGTGAGTGCTGGAAATTGAACCCAGGTCCTCTGGAAGAACAGTCAGTGCACTTAACCACTGAGTCATCTCTCCAGCCCCTGTAATCTTATTTTATTTATGTAGTATATAGTTTAGTGTTCTGAGACTCCTATATAGAGATGTTTAAATTAGTTAATTTATTTATTGGGAGTGCGGGTCACATACAAATGTTGTTGTTAGGAAGCTTGCCAGAGTTGATTCTCTCCTCCCACCATGTGGTCTCAGGTCAAAGTCAGGTCATCATTCTTGGCAACAGTGCCTTTTCCCTCTAAGCCATTCTTCTGGCCCTTCATATTCCTTTTTAAAGTATGAGGGGGAAAGATACTTACTACCCTATAAATTTGGTTTGGTGTTCTTTTTTCTTTTTTTTCTCATTATCTTTACATGATCAATTTTTTAATATTTTATTTTTAAAAAAACTATCTTTTCTTATTTTACATGCCAAATTCATTTCCCGCTCTCTCCCCTCCTCCTACTCCATCCTTCCCCCTTCTCACCTCCTTACCTCACCCCACCCCTGTCTACTCCTCAGAAAGGATAAGGCTTCCCATGGGGAATCAACAAAATCCAGCACATTGCTTTGAGGCAAGACCAAGGCTCTCCCCACTATATCTAGGCTGAGCAAGGTATCCATCCAGAGATAATGGGTTCCAAAAAGCCAGAACAAGCAGTGGTCTTACTGCCAGTGACTCCACAGTCTGCCCCAGCCATACAACTGTCACCCACATTCAGAGGGCCTAGTTTGATCCTATACTGGTTCCCTCGCTGTCAGGTGGGAGTTGGAAGACTTCCATTAGTGCGGTGAGCTGTTTCAGCGGTATCCCTCCCCATCATGGCCTTGACCTTTTTGCTTATATTCTCCCTCCTCTCTCTCTTCAATTGGACTTTGGGAGCTCAGCCCAATGCTCCACTGTGGTTCTCTGCATCTGTTTCCATCAGTTGCTGGATGAAGATTCTATGGTGACATTAAGATAGTCATCAATCTGACTACAGGGTAAGGCCAGTTCAGGCACCCTATCTACTATTGCTTAAGGTCCTAGCTGGGATCATCCTTGTGGATTCCTGGGAATTTCTCTAGTGCTAGGCTTCTTGCTAGTCCCATAATGGCTCCTTCAATAAAGATATCTCTTCCCTTGTTCTCTGTTTGTCCTCCCCACATCTTGACCACCCCATTCCCTCTGGTTCCCCTTTCCCCTTCTCCCCTCCTCCTCTTCTCTTCCCCTTCTGCCTTCCCTTCTCTCCCCATCCCTACACTCCCAATTTTCTCAGAAGATCTTGTCTATTTCCACTTCCCAGGGGGATCTATGTATGTTTCTCTTAGGATTCTCATTGTTACTTAGCTTCTCTGGGGTTGTGGACTAGGCTCTTTATCCTTTGCTTTACAGCTAGTAATCACCTATGAGTGGGTGCATCTTTCTTGGTCTGGGTTACCTCACTCAGTATGGTTTTTTCTAGTTCCAACCATTTGCATGCAAATTTCAATATATCATTGTTTTTTACTGCTGAGTAGTA